TTTTTTTTTTTTAAATTATTTTATGAAACTATAAAATCCAATGTTTTTATTTATTTAAAAATCATATCCAATAAAATATATAACTATTGCTATTTGTTATTATTCACCATTATCAAACATAAACCCATATCAATATCACCACTATTACCGCCATTATCCACTCAAATATTACCATCATATAATAAAAATATATAATATATAATATAAAATGCAAAAAAATTTAACATTATATAATTTCAATACAAGTTACTCATTTGGAAAAGAGGAAAAAAAAGAAAAAGAGCAATCAGTAACTTCAAAGCTAACACGTTTAAAAGAATCATATGAAAAAGAGGGTCAAAGAAGAGCGGTAGAGGGTATTATTATTGTACATGATCATGGTCATCCTCATATTTTATTATTACAAGATAACAGCTATTTTAAATTGTAAGTTTTGGTACAGAGTTACATTAATAAAATTACTCAACAAAGAAATCGGTAATATTTATCTTTACTATCAGTTATTAACATTTTTATTTAATAATATTTCAAAATAAATTAATTATAGACCAGGTGGTAAACTTAAACCAGGTGAAAATGATGTAGAGGGTTTAATTAGAAAACTAACAAAAAAACTATCACCAACAGGTACATCTGTAGCAGATTCACCATGGGAGGTAAGATCAACATTATTATTATAATTCATTTCAATTTAAAAAAACTATTATTAACCATCGAATTATTTTTAGATTGGAGATCACGTTTCAACTTGGTGGAGACCAAATTTTGAACCAACACTAGTAAGTTATGATTAACTCTGAAGATAGATAATTTATAGTCAATAATAATAAAAATAATAATAATAATAATAATAATAATATATAAGCAATAGTAAAGTAATAAATATTAAATAATTCTAATTTAACTTTATTATATAAAAATAGTATCCCTATATTCCGACTCATATCACAAAACCAAAAGAATGTAAAAAAATGTTTGTTGTTACATTACCTGAAAAATGTAAATTTGCCGTTTCAAATGAATTAAGTTTAATAGCAGTATCTCTATATGAAATATATAACAATTCACAAAGATATGGTCCAGTAATTTCAAGTATTCCAGCTTTAATTAGTAAATACAATTTTGTTTGTCTTAATGTAGATAATTAGTTTTAATAATAAAAAAAAAATAAAACAATAAAGAGAAATAAAAAAAAGAAAAGAAAAGATTAAATATAAAAAAAAGAAAAACAAATAAATATAAATTTTTTTTTTTTTTTTTTTTTTTTTTAAATTCACTAAATTTATTATCATTTAATGAAAGGAAGTTTATTTGTTTGAATTGAGTTTTATAAAAAAAAACATTAAAAACCTTAGAACAATCCTTTTAAATATTGCTAGGGCGTTAACTAAAAATGATAATTTGTAAAGGGGGGTTTTTCATGGGCGGATTAGTTGTAGTACAAATTAAAAGGCATGTTAGTGCTATCATTTAAATACGGTACTATCATTTAAGATAGTGATGTACGTTTATTGTACTTTTAACTAAACTGTATAAAACTGTATAAAACCGTAGTTTTACTCCTCCCACCTTATATAGTTAACGATATTGATATTTGATGCAGGAGCAGATCGTTATGTTAAAGTTCATTATAGAGCGACAACACTTTCTAACACAAAGACGCTAGTGTGACAACACTACTAACACTGAGATGCTATTTTTTAAAAACTAAGGTGTTATAAAATAAACTTTAGTTTAATGAAAGGTTGTTATCCAAATACAATTCAGTATTAAAAGATTAATCCTATAAATAAATTAAAAGAAAGAAAAAAATTAATATTTTATTAAAACAGTTTTTTAAACTCTACTACTTACTCTACAATGGGCTTTAAGGAGAGTCAATTTGCATATAAAATATGATGGCGACTGTTCCAAAGTTTTGATATAAAATTTTTTATTTTGATGTTAAGTAACTAAAAATAATAATTTGTTTTTATTGATTTGAATGGAAATTTTTCAAATTTATACTTTTTTTTTTCATCAAAAGGAAAAAAAATTTAAAAATATAAATTTAATTGAAAAAAAATAAAACCCATCTTTGATGGCAGAGGAAAAATCTTAATTTCTTAAGAAATAGAGTTATTGTTTTTAATAAAGATTTACTATAGTTTTAATCGAAATTTCAATTTGATTCGAAATAAAAGGGGTCAAATAATTATTTAATAAAAAATAATAAACTAATCAAATTATATAATTTGCCAAGAGAATGCAATGAATAAAAACACCCCCCACCAAAGAAAATATTTTTTTTTTTTTTTTTTTTATTTCTTTAAAAAATTTTTTTTTTTTTTAATTTTTTTTTTAAATTTTTTTTTATTTTTTTTAAAAAATAATTTTTTTTTTTTTTTGATTGATAGAAATTTTTTGTTCATATATATAAAAACAATTTTCTTTATTTCAGATTAAAGAAATCATCGTCAATTCTTTTTGTCACTTCTATATATAGATAAATAAATAAATAATAAAATGACAGGTTCAGAAAAAACTTTAGGTGGTAAAGCTGTTAATGCTGGTGTTGTTGGTGCTATTGGCGGTTCAGTTGTTGCCTTTAATAAAACCTTTAACTACAGTGTATTCACAAACGATCCAAAAGGATTCGTAAACACATCCAGACCATTCTTTGGTCAATGTATCACTGCTGGTGCCCTTGGTTGTGCTGCCTACACCATCACTAAACATTATTTAGCAGAAATTCGTGGTACTGATGATTACTTAAATAGTTTCGGTGGTTCAATCGTCACTGCTGTTACCCTTGGTGCTTTAAGTAGGTTTATAGTTTTATAGAATATAGTTTTTTCAATTTAATATTAACATTCAAATATCTAACTCAATGTTTTTTTTAATATATAAAAATTTATTTCAAAAATAATTCAAATAACTTTATAATCAACCTTATCTTTAACTCTAATCAATTTTCAAAAATCAATTTAATACAATTTTACAAACAAATTATTTCAAACAATATCAAATTATAGGCAATTCATTAAAAATAGGTGTTAAATCAGGTTTAATTTTAGTTCCAATTACTTTTATGGCTCATATTCTTACCAATGAAGTCAAGAGTGCTCAAGTATTATATGAAAGCAGATACGATACTGAAGCCAAACAAAAAGTTGTTAGACACAAATTCCTTGAATCTTTAAAACAATAATCAATTAATATATATAAATAAACAACAATAATAAATAATACCGAAAAATAGTAAAATAGAAAACTTTAATTTATCAAACCCATCACATCAAATCAAACTCAAAACCAAAAAATTTTTACACCAAATTTAAAACTCCAACTCACCTATATGTATATATAACTAAAACTTTATATATATAAAAAGTAATAATAAAATAAAAAAATTAAAAAAATATTAAAAATAATATAATTATAAGAGTAGTAGTAATAATAACAACAACAACAATAATATTATTTGCTTTTAATGTAAATTTTTATTTTTTTATTTAATTTATTTTAATTAATTTAATTATAAATAGATAAAGATTTATTATTATTTAACTGGGATTTTAGTCATTTGGGCATTTACTATTATTATTATTATAACTAATTGGTTATTATTGTTCTAACCTCTTCTTTTTTAATAAAACGAACTTGATTTTGCTTTAAATCATTTTGGCATACCTCTTTAAGATTGTTTAATAAGTTTTTATTGGTTTCAATAAAAGTTAAAATTGATTTATTTGATCTATCGCCTGGTAAATCTGTTTTCATATCGATATAGATCTCTCTTACCTCGTATAATGATTGTAAAGATTGTGGCTGTGGTTCAATTGATGGAACTAAATATTTAATTACCCAACAGAATGGATGATTTTCGCTAAATTGAATTAAAAATCTTTTGGTTGGATCGATATTACTTGTATTTGAAATATTTGAAAGTAATAACTCTTTTACTTTGTCATTTGAAATAAATGTAAATATTACCCCTAAGTTCCATAAATCAATAACATTCTTTTGATATTTAATAACCTTAAAAACTGGTGATAAAATTGAAATGAATGAATCAAATTCATCACATGAAATAATATTTTCTATATATAAATAATAAAAAAAATTAGTATTAAATTATTGAAACATTTTATTATTATTATTATTATTATTTATAATTACCTGAAATTTGGTTTAATAAATATTGTAATGATTCATTTGGGAATGGATAATATTGTTGTAATAAACTTTTTCTTATATTTAAACAAACAGTGAAATATTTTTGAATGGTTTTAATTACTCTAAGGTGATTAACTTTAGTATAGAAATATTCTTGTTTGTGTTGTTTAGATTCTTCTGATGATACTCTTAATGGTGAATCTTCTTGCTTTTGTTGTGGTGGTTGTAAAGATAATAAATTGATTTGATTTGATAATGATACATTAATATTATCTTGTTTCTAGAAAAAATAAAATTATAAAGGTTAGTTTTTTTAATCTTAATAGATTTTAAAAGATTATTTTTACTATACATACTAAAAATATTTCATTTTTTAATAATTCACAAAAGAAATCTACCCATTGCGAATCGTTATTGAATACTATAAAGCTTTCTGATAAATCTGTTTCAATGTTGAATTGCTCTTTTGTAACTTTATGAATTAAACAAATTGAGAATTTTAATTTTGAAAATCTTGCTGTGCCTCTAACAAATTTAAGTGGTATTCTTGAAATAAATCTGTTGCTATTCTCTGAAGGGAATAAATCAAATGAATTTTGTTCAACTAATTCAAGTGATTGATTGTCATCATTAATATTATTATTATTATTATTATTATCTTGAATATTACTAGACGGTATAATATTAACATTGCCACTATTAGTTATATTGTTATTGCTATTATTTATATTATTATTACTATCAGAGACACTCGGTATATTGTTGTTACCAGATGATGATAATGGTGATGAGCTTGGTGTATTTGTTTGAGATGCTGGATTTGAATTATTATTATTGCTGTTATTATTATTAGAGGTTGTTGCATTACTGGGATTTAGTGAAACATTTTCAAATATTATTTTTAATTTACTATAAGTATATGGGAAATGTGAAGTTGTTAACATTTCAATAGTTAATTCATCCAATTGCATTTGTTTATATCTTTTTATTAAACCTGGGAATGGTTGTCTTGTAAATACTAAAACAGCACTATTGAAACCATCAGTTTCTAATTGGAGTGGGCTATTTGATTCTATAGTATTTGAAAATGAAACTGAAAATTTCTCCAACTCTTTCAATAGAATTGATAAATGTTTTGAGAGATTATTAAGCTCTAATAACTTTTGTTGGAGTGAATGTGTGACAACAAATTCAAACTGTAGCTCTAATTGCTCTATCGAAGATATCAATGTACTAATAATTGTAATGGTTTGTGCTATTTCTTGAATTAATAATGCTGTAGCTTGAAGAACATGTTGGGTTTGTTGCTCGTACACTTGATCACCAGTCTTGTTGGTATTGTCACTATACTCTTGGCTGATGCTGAAGCCTTGAGAAATCAATCTGTTTTGTCTTGCGATGAAATTAGAGGATAATAGCTTCAACTCTTTTGATTTCTTACTATAATAGTCATGTTCATCTTTCATAAACTGATCGATGGTTTTAGCATTATAGGTAGTTAAATCTTTTAATTGTTTTTGTTTATTGACTGATTGAATTTGGTGTTGCTTTAATTCATCAATCAATAGCAATGGTTGAAGTTGTTGTAATAAATCATCTGACATTTCCTTTTTTATATAATTATTTAATATGTATTAATTTAAAAAAAAAAAAAATTATTTGTATATAAAATTATTTTTTTAAAAAAAAAAGATATATAAAAAAAAACTAAATGATTGTAATAGGTAGTTTACTATACTACAACTATTAGTGATTTTTGCTGCTTTTGTGCTTTTATTATAATTATAACAAAAAAAAAATAATAAAAAAAGGATTCGGAAAAAAAATAAAAAAAAATAAAAAAAAATAATAAAAATTAAAAAAAATTAAAAAAAAATTAAAAAAAAAAAAATTAATAATTATTTTTAGGCTAAATTTAACCAAATAGATATCTTTTTTATTAAAGGCCCAATAATTATAATAATACTACTATACTATTGTACAACACTCCACACACATTCACACCGCCACAATAACTACTCATAACTATATCGATACTATGAACCCATATAAATTAAATAGTTGCAAAGTTAAGATTTTTCAAGGAATTTGGACTAAAACTAATGTTAAATCTCAAAAGGATCATTTATATGTGTTTGGTGATAACGACCTAAAGATGGGTTGTAAGGGTCAAGCCATTATAAGATATTTACCAAACACAATAGGAATTCCCACCAAAAAAAAACCCTCAAAACATGCAAACTCATATTATACCGATTCAGAGTTTGAATTAAATAAAACAAAGATAGATAATGCAATAAAAGAACTATTTGAAAAATCAAAAAATTACAAATATATAGTGTTTCCCTCGAATGGGTTTGGTTCTGGTTTGGCCGAGTTGGATAAAAGAGCTCCCAATACTTTTAAATACTTAACAAATTTAATAAACAATATTATAAAATTAAATAAATATACAGAAGAACCTTCAAAAGAGGAGCCTTCTGAACCAAATCCATCAGATGATTTACCAAAGTCATCAGATAAATAGTTAATGAATGATAAATATTTGTTATTCGTTTTATTTATTTTATTTTATTTCATTTTTTTTTTTTTTTATTTTCGTTTTTAAATTTTATTTATTTGTTTTTTTTTTTTCTAAAAAAATTTTTAATTATCTTTTTTTTTTTTTTAATCATATATAATATAATATTATTTATTATTAATAATATATATATATAAATAATTACTAAATAAATATGGTTACTTCAACTAAAAAAACCAGTAATAAAATATCAACCACTAATAGTAGTGGTAAATTAAAACCAACATTAAATAATAAAAAAAATGACTCGGTAGTTAAGAAACCACTTCTTTCAGAAGAGATTATGGATATTGTTACTGGTGCATCCAATATAAAAAAATCAATCGATCCAGAATCAATGGATTATTTTGGTGATAGCGCTAAAGTCGATCAATATGAAGATTTTGGTGATATTAATGACGAAAAGTAAGTAAACCTATTTTACAATAACTTTATTATTATTAATTACTAATATTATTATAATTACTATTATTATTATTATTATTATTATTATTATTATTATTATTATTATTATTATGATAATTATAGCTCAGGTTCAAGATTAAGAGGTGATATTGATTCAGGATTTACATCTGGTAAATATTCAGGTAAAAAATCATCAAGAAAGAATGAAAGGGATGAAGAAGACGAATTTAACCCAGAAGAAGAGATACCTTCAGAAGACGATAAAGACTTAGATGATGTTTTTGATTTTGATGATAAAGAAGATGATATAAGTGATGATGATGATGATAATATTGTACAATCCTCAAATATCGATAAAGCTGATCAATTATTTAAAAAACTTCAAAAACAACAACAACAATCAAACGAAAAAGATGAAAAAGAACCAAAACTTTTAAATAATATAAATGAATCTGACGAAATGGAAAAAGCAAAAAATACAAAAAATCAAACTGTAACTATAATATTTATATTCAAAACCACACCGCAGCCATAACCAATACTAATTTATTACTATTATTAGGTTTTATATAATGAATTTTTAACAACTAGAATCTATTTACAAAAAGCAATTAGCTTTGCAAATAGATTACCAAAACCAAAAGCATATAAAGAGTTTATCGAATATGATAAATCAATTGAAAATAAATTTGAACAAGTTAAAAAACAATCATGTCAATTAGTATCAGAATTATTTAATCTTCAAAGCGAATTAATCGATAGAAATGAAGAAATGCCAAAGAGCACAAATAAAAAGAAAAGAATTAGAGAGGATCAAAGTTTATCTGAAGTATGGAATATTATTGACGAGCAAAACCAAAGATTAAATGAATTTCACAATGCCACAATCACCAAATGGAATAATAGAATCAGCATCAGTGGCACAACCACAACTAAAAATTTAAAATCATTAAACCAATCCATTTTAACTCAAATTAGTAATACTTTAAACGATATTGAAAGATTACAAAAAAGAACAAAATTAAAAAGAAGTACTTATAAAATTTTTGGTGATCAACAAATAAAACAACAACAACCACAACAAGAACAACAACAAGAACAAGACGAAGATGAAGACGAGTATGATGACGAAATTTTTGATGATTCAGATTTTTACCAAAACTTATTAAAAGAATTAGAAAATAGTAATGACGATGATCAAAATCAAGTTGGTTCTCAATACTGGATCGAAATGAGAAATTTAAAGAAAAAGAAAAAGAAGAAGGTTAATCAAAAAGCATCCAAAGGTAGAATTCTTAGATACGAAGTATTCCCAAAATTAGAAAACTTTATGACTCCAATCCAAATTCCAGACCCAGATTGGAATATCGATCAATTATATCAAAATTTATTTGGTGGTGTTGGTAATATAGATAATTAAAAATCATCATTAAAAATTATAATTCAAAAATAAACTTAAAAACCATTCTTATAAAAAAAAAAAAAAAAAATATAAAAAATCTTTTTTTAAAAAAAAAGTGAATTTCGCAAAATTAAAAAAAGCCGAGTTTTTATTTTTTTTTTTTTATTTTTATTTTTTTTTTGGATTGATTCTTTCTATATTTATTTATTTTATTCCAATTGTTATTATTTCATTTCATTAATTAAATGAATATTAAATTTGAATTTAAATCTAGATTTAAACTATATTTTACAAAAAAATAAAAATAAAAATAAAAAAAAATAGAAAGAAAAAAAATTAATTGTTATGTTTTTTTTTATTTTTTTTTAATTTTTTTTTTAAAATTTTTTTTTTTTTATTTCAAAATTTTTTTTAATTTTTTTTTTTTTTTTTTTTTTTCTTTAGTGATAGACGATAGAAAGTAAGAGACCTTAGTAATAAATTTATAAGTTTTTTTTTTTTTTTTTGTATAATTTTAATTGTTTCCTTTTTTTTATTGTTTATAACATTTCTTTATAGTCAGTGTTTTAAATTGTTTTTTTTGTGTTTCTATTTTTTTTTTTTTTTTTTTTTTTTACTATTTCGTTTTTATTTTTATATGTATAATTTTATTTGTTCATATAAAAAAAAAAAAAATATAATTTTTTATATGCCTTATATTAAATTGTTCAAAAACTGTTAAAATAAAAATAATAAATATAATAAATAGAATAACATATCAAATCAAAAAAATTATATATAAATATTTTATCATTTATAAATAGTTTTTTTTTTTTCTTTTTTTTCTTTTTTTTCTTTTTTTTCTTTTTTTATTTTTGTATATT